TTCATGCACTTCACAGGACTGAGCCTGTGGTGGTTGGTAAACTAGATAATTCTGCTACCAACAGAGCTACATCTCTAACTTACTGTTAATTTTGTTTTGCTTCCTTGAAATGTAATTGTTTTCTATATGTCCTGAATTATATAAATATGCAAAATACTATGTAAATAGCAAATCTAATCAAAATGAGTTATAAAAGGGCATGGAGAAATGGTCCAGTGTGGAGAATGAGCGGAATACGTAGATAATCCCAACCCATGTAAATCTGAAGGTAATTTCTTGGCTCATGCAGTCATTACTTATAAGAAGGACATAAGGAGGTGAAATGTCTTATCTTTGGAAAATGGGATGATGCATTTCATATCTCATAAAGTAAATAATCACATTGTGGAGAATGTATGAGTGCTCTCATCAGACACAGGCTATAAATTCCCTTCACCAGTAATAATTTTCTGTTAACTAATCTTTAAAAGTACCTGGTGTTATTTTGAGAAAACACAAATGTAACCTATGTCTTGACTCTTGAAGTTTCCTGTTACCATCAGTTGCTCTGCAGAGGAGCTGCCTTCATGTATTGGCCTTGGAGAAGAGCTATGGACATTCACTTTCAAAGTTCTCTACCACACAGGACCCTCCCTGCAGTCCCCTGGCTGTGCAGTATCCCTGGTAAGTGGGAGATTGTCCTATATCCACTCAAGCATGACAGCAGTGGCTTATCATATCCACAAAAGCATGAAGGTGCTGACCAAAGATAACACATGAACAGGATATGATCAGCACAGCCCCATTTCACACTCTGCAAAGGTTTCTGTTTGCTGAGCACAAAGCCTCTCCTTACTCTAACAAGGCAGTAGCAAGGGTAACAGAAATTCTCAGATATATTTGCAGGTTTAACACAGCCCTCACAAAGGTCCAATGAACCCTTTTATGCACCAGTCTTCAACAAAAGTTCTTTGAGTTACAGTCACCCCAGTGTGCACAGGACTCTGGAACTCAATCTTCTTGGGGAGCTGCAGTGTGTTCCCTGTGACCAGTACCTCTCCATGTCACAAGCTGCCCTTCAGATAGCAGCACTGCCTCACACCATTGAAAACTGCAAGGAAGATGCATGTTAAATAGTCTTTATATGATTGTATAACTATTAATTCAACTGCAAACCAAAAAAGTTATAGCCACTTTTGAAAGAGATGTATCTTTGCTCCGGAAATTGTTATTGAGCATGTTAAAGCTGTAATGAAAAAAACCCTATATTATATATATATATATATATATATATATATGTGTTTCTCTACTGTAAAAAATATTCTTTAGATGAAAAAAAAATGAAGGAGGAAGATGATAACTTGATGACTGTGGGTACATTAATTATGTAAGTGGATGAAGGGAGAAGCCCAGAATTTTCTTCTCTATTATCAGCCACCTAGGGGAGGGTATTCAACTAACTTCAAGCCTGTCAGCACTCTGAGTATAGACTGCGACATGCTCAAACTATTATGTAAGGAGGATGGGGCACCCAGAATCTGGGGTGAGAATTGGGGCAAATGCACTTGGGGGAGGGGATAAGGACATTTTTCAAAGGACAAGAGTCCACAGAGACTTCTACATGTTCACTCCTTTCCCTCAAAGACTCTACAGTGACCAGGTCAAACCAGGAAAACCTGGGGGAAAATCTTGGCACCTGCCCCCAGTGAATCCAGTCTCTCCCTGAAGTTCTGGATGGAGTCTGCCCATTTTATATGCACAATCTCTTCATTTTGTCTTCTGCTCCCTGTGCTATGTGGGCTGGGTCAGGCAGGCAGGCAGAGCACAAGGTCTCCATGGCAGGGACTTTACTGGAAAGCCTGTGACATGGGGTCCTTGGATTTGCTTTCTTGGTTGGATGGAGGCCTGCTGTTCCAAGGGCTGTTGGTGCCCAGTGCAGGAGAGTTGTTAAAGCTGTCATCTATTCTTTGGAGGACAACAAACTGGGTGTTCTATAGCCAGGTGCTGAGCCTCTGATCCTGGTCCATCCCGGAACTCTCTGCCCATCAAGGTGGGCTCCCATCGTACCACAATGCCGTGAGGAGTGGAGATGGCCCCAAGCATGATCAGGGCATGGTCTCACTCAGCTCAGGGCAGCCAATATCCCCAAGGCCCCAGAGATTCAACACCCCATTCTCTCTTTATGCCTGTGCTGGTACCTTCAATTGTTAACTTGACACACCTAGTTGGGAGGAACCTCAATTGAGGAATTTCCTCAAATGGATGGGCCTGTGGTCATCTCTGTGGCACATTTTCTCTTGATTATTGAATGATATGGGAGGTCCCCAGGCACTGCGGGTGGTGCCATGCCAGGGCATGTGTCCCTGTATTGTATAGGGAAGGAGGGTGAGCTCAGGCCAAGGGAGCACACCAGTAAACTGAGTACCTCCATGACATGTGCTCCTGGGTCCTTTCCTGATTGCCTGCCTTGGCATCCCTTGATAATGGATGGTGAGCTGCAAGGCAGGTGAACCCTTTCCTCCCCAGGCTGGTTATGGTCAGTGTTTCAACTCAGCATTAGAAAGTTAACTAGGACAGACATTGGTATCAAGAGTTCAATATTGCTGTGATGGACCTAATAACTATCTTTCTGAAGATTGTGGATTATTTTGTGCTTTGGACTGGAAAAATGCTTGGAAATCAGAGAGATGTTCTGTAGAATATTGGAAGATAATGCTGATGGAAGTGCATACAATGGCAGCCCTATTCAGGGATACGTGCGATGTATTTTGAGTTATGCTTTTTGGAAGTGAAAACATTTGTGCTTTCCTGGGATAATCCACACTGACCAGCTGAGGCTGAAAAACCAGCCATGAGTATCAGGAGATCCACCTCATTGAGTGAAATCTTCTAGAAGTATTTCCTAATGGTCAGCACACAGACACTGTGGTCCAGAGTTGTCCAAGGCTGCATATTATCCTGGCAGAAGAACTTGTGTAAGAGTCTCTCAGGTGGTACTGGTTTTGAAGATGTGAAAGGTCATGGAGATAATCTTTGCACCCAGAGAGGCCATTGGTGAAGGTGCACACTCATTTGCAATGAAAACCCCAGAATATTGGAGATATCAGGACAATGGTATCCCCACCAAAGGCAAAGTCAGAGAAGTGCCCATAACCTATGGACCCCAGAAGACTGTAATTGAATCGCAGATGTTCAACATTTAGCTATGTCGCTAGACCTTGGTTTGGCTTAAAAATCTTCCTTTTTGAAATAAGTCAGTATGTAACTTATTTTGGATTTTACAGGAGTCCAGAATTGAAAGACTTTAAATATTCTTAGAAATATTAAGCTTTAAGAGTGTTTGAATTTTTCCCATAAGCAAAGGATTACTAAAGATTTTATTTGCACACACATGGTCACAATTTTTCCTTAAAAAGATTGTTGGTAAATGTACATAAGGCCATTTGTAAATGTACATCATGTTAGTGTTATAATGTCTTATGTTCAGAGAAAAACGTTGTCATACAGATTTGCTCTTATTGGGAGTAGGCTATTCAAAAATAGAGTCCTCTTCTGTACAAAAAAGTCACATCACATTTAAGTATGGAAAAAGCATTAGCCTCCATGGTAACCAAATCCCAGTCCAATTTTTTCCATTATGAATAATACCCTGTCTTCAATTGAAACTGATCCAAATCCTAGCCTGTACATATTATTCATATCATTAACAAATATGTTACAATAAAAGTTTTCCACAGTAATGAAAAAAAGCTTGTTCATACTTCTGGAACCATATAAAGATAGAAAAATTTTAACAACCACTCATGATTTGGTGAAATGAATTTACATTAAGCAATACTATATTGCCAGGTTAAAGAGGGCAGAGATGTAAATGTACACTAAAATGCAAATATGTCCCAAAGAGATAATACAGATTCCATTTATAGCATGAAATTTTACAAATGTACATATGTACAATCAAGGAAGAGTGTCATTATTAAATTACCATGGCTTGTAAGTTTACATTTTGAAAGTTTTTGAATTTATAAGGACTGTGAGAATTCTAAAGTTGTACTGTTTAATATTAAAATACTAATATTGATATGAGATCTTGGGGATAAGAAATGGAAAGGTAGTGGTTGAAATTTCACAATGGGTGAATTTTGCTGGATAGCTTCAGCTGTCAGCTTGACACATCTAGTTGGAGGTAACCTCAATTGAGAAATTTCTCCATTGGACCAGCCTGTGGCCTTGCCTGTCTGTGGGAAATTTTCTTGATTATTGAGTGATATGGCAGGGCTCAGCCCACTGTGGGTGGTGCCAGCCCCGGGTAGATGCTCCTGTGTTATATCAGGAGGCAGGCTGAGCACAGGCTAGGGGAGCTAGCAAGTAAGCAGAGTACATCCAGAGTCTATGCTCCAGGTTACTACCCAGAATTCCTTCGTTGGCTTCCTTTGATGATGGACTTTGTGATTTAAACCAAATAACCATTCTCTCAGAGTCAGTTTTGGTCAATGTTTTACCACAGCAATAGAAAACTAATTAGGACAATGCCCAAGTTTACAGCCCCAACTCTGACACATTTGGCTCCTGAAATACTTCTCACTAAATGACACCAGAGCATCACATCCTTTGCTGATTACCCATTGGATTCTTTGAAGAAGTATCAATCTACTCCATAGCTCTCTAACCCATCTCCCTCAGATTTTATGGGCCCCTAAACTTATGTCCACATGTTAGAGAGGGAGTAGATCATAACTATGTAGGGAGGGAAATGTGTATGTATGCTCGTATTTGCATGTTTCTACATAGGCAAACATTCAAGTCTGCATGCCCCTCCATTAGTGTATGTATATGTCCAATGGTGTGTTCCCCACAATATCTATCCTGAACATCTTTGTGTTCTCAAGACTGATTCTATTTATGCAGTGTGTGAGTTTGACTGAGCCTATGTGGTCACTTCCATGAATGTGCCTGCCAAGGATTATATCAGTCAAAGGAGAAGCTCGTGCTGGCTCCAGCGTACATGGGGACCACTGTCTAAAAATATGGAATGCTTCAAATCTTTGCATGTCATCCCTGCACAGGAGGCATGCTAATCTTCTTTGTAGTATTCTAATCTTAGTATATTCACTGGCGAGGCAAGAAGTAATCATGTTGATTTTTACAGTTATAATGCAGGTATGTATGAAAATCATCAAATTGTATAACTTAAAATATACTGTTACATATCAACAAGTCTATAGTTGATTTGCATTGAATTTTCTTTTTGGCACATTCATATTTGTGAGTGACTGTGGAAGACGTGGGGAGTTGTAGAAAACATGCCTAACAGGCCTTAGGCTCTAGTTTAAAGCCACAAAATCCATCTTCTGGTGGGCAACTGCCACCAGCGAGGGTCTTCACAGTTCCCAGTGTGGTCTGTGTTTCCCTTAGTGTACATCACTGTGTCTAGTGAGAAGGACAAAACGTTGTGAGATAGTCTTTGCATTTTCATATCTGTGACTGATGCAGAAAAACATGCTCACAGAATATTTTTTCCAATGGTGTCTCACTGGCCTGTAACTTGTCAAGTTGTCTAGGCTGGCTTTCATTGAGCTCTGGGGGTCTGCCTCACACTGTCTCCCTAGTTCTGAAGATACCGTGGTATAATATATATCACCACTGCTGATGTCAAGGTATACTACAGAACTCTAGTTTTTAAAAGCACATGGTGCTGGCACAAACATATACTCAGAGATCAATGGAATAAGTGGAGGATCCAGATATGAGTACAAACAAACACACAACTACAGCTACATGATCTTTGACAAAGATGCCAAAATATATACCGGATAAAAAACAGCAACTTCAAGAAATGATATTGGGAAACAGGAATTTCAATATGGGGAAAAATTAAGCTAGTTCCCTACCTCTCACCTGGCCAAGAATTTAATATAAGAGATGCTACCCTAAAATTTCTAAATGTAAAGGTGGGACGTTCACTTAGGTTTATAGGTACAGGTGCAATCTTTCTGTATAGGAGTTTCATAGTGCAGGAAATAAGACAATTAGCATATAAGATTTTATGAAACTAAAAAGCTTCTGAACAGGAAAGGAATCTGATACCCAACATACTTGGATATCAGGAGAATGCAAATTAAGAGTATGTAAAGATTCTGTCTCACCCCAGTCAGAAAACCACCACCAGAAACACAAATGGAACTTTTGTGTTGAAAGGGGGACACTTAGGCACTCTTGACAGTGTCCGAATTAGTGCAACCACTTTGGAAAGCAGTCAGGAGGTTTCTTAAGAAAGCTAGAATTATAATTACTATATGACCCAGCCATACCACTACTGTGCTTATGCCAAAAAGTTTATGTCTTACTTCAGAGATGCTTATAATCCATGTTCATTGCTACTCTGCCCATGAGAGCAAGGAAAGGGAGCCAGCTCGTGTATCCATCAGGTTCTGGATGGTTAATGAAAATGGGTATGTAAACACAGTGCACTAGTACTCAGCCATCAGGAAAACATGAGACTATGAAACTTGAAAGAATCAATGAAACTGGAAAAGTTATACTTACTGAGGTCTTCCAGGCCACAACATATAACAGAAATCTGGTCATCTTGGAAATGATCTCTTACTCTAGGCTGTGAATCCTGACACTCACACAGCTTGAGAGGTCAGTGTGTGTATAAGGTTCTCCTCTCAAGTCTGCTGTGTGGATAGACCCACAGGGAACATGTACTGGATATACTTCCTCTGGAGGTGTGCAGATCAGCCTCTGCATCATAAACTGTCACTCACGTCAGGTATTTGTGTCTTTATTATGACATTTTCTACAGCAAGTAGAAGTAGAGGATATTTCAGCCTCTCTATTCTGTGGCTTTTAATCTTCCAATTCTGCTTTTTAACTCATAGTTTTATCTGACAAATTTACAGATTTATCATGTTATATAGTCCTACCATCCTATGTCCATGCATCATCTGTTCATTCACCCATCCTCATTCTATCAATCCTTCTGTTCACTCACCCATGCATATCCAATCTACCCTCCAATACATTCATTCACCATCATCCATCTATCCTTCCGTTCTTTCACCTACCCATCTTCCACCCACCCTCCTTTCATTCAGTCATCGATTGTCCATCCATCCTCCCATTCATCACCCATCTATCATCCATCCACACTCCTGTTTATTCAGTCTTCCATATCTGCTTCTTTATTCCTAAATTCATCAATCCATGTTCATTTACATAGTTTTTCAAATAGTACTCAAAGTCAAGTATGATTTGTGAACTTTCAAATAATATACAAGGAAATGTGTGACAACAATCTTTTACTCTGTGAAAATTTCTTGCAGGGGAAGACCTTAAAAAAATCCAATAATCACCCATGGTATTCTATGAGCTCACCTTGGGCCTTGGCCTCACCCTGCTGAGGTTCTTATGACTAGCTGAGTGAACAGGGATGTTTGGCTCTTTTAGAGAGGACACGGGTGCCTGGATCCATTACACCCCTCCAATTACATTAAAAAAAGGAGTACCTGATGTCCAGACCAATGAACTATTCACGCCCATTCAGAAAACAACCATGCTCTATCAACTATTTTTTACAGAGACAAATTTCAGCTCAACAAAAGCAAACCTGAGTTTCATAACAGACAAAAAGCAACAAAAGAAATCCACACACTCAGACCACAAGTAAAAATACAAATAAAATGAAATCTCAAAGTAATATGTCCCCACTAACTGCACTTGTCTTATAGAAGTGTTCTACAATGAGAACTACCTAGGGGAAGCCCATGACATAGAATTTGAAAGAACAATCATAAACAAGATTAAAGAAATCAAAGAATTTAAAGAACACACATTCAACTTAGGAAACTCAAAGAGGATAGAGTTGAATCCCTACGTGGTGCTCAGGAAAATAAAAATATTTAACTGAATAAAATGACAAAGACAATTCAGGAGCTGAAAAGCAAACTCACAAAAGGGATAGGAATATTGAAGTAAACACAAGCCAAAAAGAAGATGAAATTGAAAAACTCAATAAGCCAATTGGAAATGACAGGACAAAGCTTCAGAAGCAGAAAGAATGAAATGGAAAAACAATATCAAGCCTGGATGATAAAATTAAAGAATTCTAGTAAATTATCACTCTTGTGAAGATGAGGAAAAACTTTAAAAATGTGGGAATGGAATATACAAGGAATGTGGGACACCATAAAAAGACCATATTTCTGCATCGTAGCAATAGACAAAGGAGAAAAGTCCTAGGTCAATATCATTGACCAGATCTTCAACAGGAGAAATATAGAAGAAATAAAGAAGAAAACTTACCTAAATTAATGAGAGACAAACCCATGCACATAAAAGCAGCACACACAACACGAGATAGACAGGAGAAGAACAGAACTCCCCAAGGGATTTCATAGCAAAAACACTAAATGACCAGAACAAAGAGTGAACACTGAAAGCTGAAAGACAGAAACAAGTTATATATAAAGGAAAATCAATTAGAATTACAGTTGACCTCTCAATGAAAAATTTTAAAGCCAGAAGAGCTTGTAGTAACATATTCTAAATTTTAAATGATGATAGATGCCAACTCAGAATACTTTACCCAGTAAAATTGTCTATCATAGTCTGGGCATAGCAGGGTGGGGTGGAGTTGCTCTGTGAGCAGGTTGGAGGTAGGTTAGGGTGGGATTTTACAGGTTTGGGGTGAACAGAGCTCAGATGGTAGGGGAGAGGGAGTTCTCAGGGATTGAATTCCAAGCCCCAAGTCTGGGGCAGGGGAGAATGCCAGAGACCCAGGTTGGGATTGACTCACTCTGCAAAGATGAGATATGTGCTGATCCAGGATGGGATAGGATCCCTATGACCCAGGGAAGTCTGAGAGCTATGATGACAGGCACTATGGATTCTCAGGGAAGAAGCTCCAAGCCCCAAATCTGAGGGGAGGAGGATCCCAGCAGATCCAGTCTTTGATGAGAACTTAGATGGTATGGATTGAGTCACTCTGCTAAGACGTGGTACATGGTGTTCAGCGATAGAATAGGATCCCTGTGACCTAAGGAATTTTGAGTGCTAAGGTGGTGGAATGTTAGGGAGATACAGGTAAGGGGATCCAAGCCACAAGTCTTGGAGGAGGTGGTATGTCCAGAGACCCAGGCTGATGTCATTACTGACCAGGTTTTTGCTTTATTTATAAAATGTAGAAACATTAGTTATCTCTACAAAAGAATCAAGTGATTCCCAGATTTCCTGAGGAAGACATGGACCACCTCACTGTCCATCTCTCTGTTTTCCCTTGAACTGAGTAACTTCCTTGACAAGGTAGAAGGAGAGGTTCCCCTGCCTAACCAATCCTGGAGGGTTTCACCTGTGCAAACATCTCTTTCAGGGGGTCTTCATCAGGGGGGTTCTGCAGCATGGAGACAGTGAGATGGAGACAGTGTCTCCTGGATTTCCTGGGGTCTGCTCCAGTCAGAGTTCTAGGGAGTGACCAGTGCTTCTTTAGACTGTCAATAAGGCTATGACATTCTCATCTTGTCTTCATGGGCTTTCTGAGTATTTGGCCTGTCTGGCAGCTTTGTTCCTCCATGTCTGACCTTGTTTTCTGATACCCTCACTCTTGTAATTTCAGTGACTCAATCTATTTTTCTGAGAGAGCCTGCTCCTGCCCCAGTTCCCATGTTCCTTCCATGTCTCCTGCCTGTAGACGCTGTTCATTAGATGCCTTTCTGTGCCTGTGCATTGAAGCTTATCCTCAGAACACAGCTCTCAGAGTCCCCCTTTTTAATTCACTCAGGCCCTGTCTGCCCCACACACGTTTTCTGCACCAATTGCCTAAACCACTTTGCAGTCCTCACACCACACTGCACAGCTCCTATCTGGAGCCTGGTAAAGACAGATCTCCGGGGTCTGGGGAGATGCCTCAGCCAATAAAATGTTTGCTATACAAGATGAGGATGGAAGTGTGTTCCCCATCACCCTGCCATGTAATATTTAGGCAAGACCACACAAGCCTTTGATCCCAGCTCTGGAGAGAAAAAGACAGGAGGATACCACAGATTGTTGACAACCTAGTCTAACCACATTAATTAGTTCCATGTTCTGAGGTTCAGTGAAAAATCTAACCACTTGAAAAAGGTGC